CGCACGGAGACACAGACGGCTCGCGGGTGGCGAGAGTGAATGCCGGCGCGGAGAGCGGTCAACATCGGTCCAACGTCGCTCCAATATCGGTCCAACGTAACGGTTGACCCTGTGGTGAATCCCAGTAAAAGACGATTCAATCCTTGCTTACCAGTGGACATCAGCTGCATCTTGCTCTAAATAGGAGTTTGTAGCCCTACAAGCACCTCCAGTCCCCAGACCACTGCTCCGTCCTGCCCATAACCAACCAGCCAATCACAGAAATGGACAGGCCAATCGCAGCGCTTAGCGCCAGTTTGCGCTGCCAAACTCCTGTGTATAAAGTTGGGCTTAATTTCGCTCAACACGATCACTAGAGCGCGCGTTCGGGTTTCTTTGGTCGCGTGGGACCAGCACGATCACCCAACCTCACGACCGCAGATTTGTTATTATATTTGTTCACCGCAGTTCGACGTGTCATAGCTATAAGAAGGCAAATTTTACATACTTTTCGCTTGTAGTGATTTCAAAATTATTTTGGACGTGGTTGTTTCAGTAAAAACACATATCTTGCCACACGAGTAGTTTTGTACTCTTCTAATATTCTTTTTTATCTACATGTTCGTGTTAATGAAGAAGAAAACAAGGAATGAAGTGAACAGACATTTCCATAAAGCCTGTTAACACTGCCGAACTAAATAAAGCTTGGCAATGCTGTGAGTCACCGGCTTTTTGATAATGATAACCTATTGCCTATAGAATAAACACAAAACTTGGGAAGAAGTCGGGTATCTGCGAAAAATGAAGTTAGCGCGGCGCACATAGCTGCCACAATGTCCTATGTGGCCTGCAAATGGCGGCACACATAGTTGCCGCGCTGCCGTCGATATGTTAATTACCTCAGAGGAGGTGATACTGCAGCAGAAGGCGCCGCTGGAATTCACATAGCGGTGATCTTGAATCAAATACATCACGCAAGCTTTCTAGCCATCTCTCGTTAATGGAGTGGTATCAGCTTACCTGCCAGAGTGAAAAGTACGACTTAGCATTCATCTATTAGCAAGCTGGTTAGGCACGCTCACCTGTTCCATCCGCGAGCGTAGTAGACAGGCGGACAAGTGTTGATGTTGTGCCCCTTTTGCGGCTTGAAAGTGCGCGACAAAGGCGCTAGAAGCTCGCTCGACCCGCAATCCACACCTTCGTCCGCAAGCCCCGCCTTCCGCTGTCGGCTGCCACGTGACGCTGCTTGAAAAGCGCGGGCGCAGTTGCGGCAGCGGTTGCATTGCGGTTCAATGTCATTGGCACTGGAGCAACTGAGCTGGGCTCGTGAAACTCGTCCAACACGCCCCTTCTCTATTCCAAGGTAGAATAGAGGAGCTTCTTATGTGAGGCGTGAGCGGGATTTTCTTCTGTCTTCTTTTTTCTTTTCCAGACCACTCCCCACCTTCAGCTTCATTAATGTACGCTCTTCCACATCCATTTTATCTCCTGGCTTGCCTCTGACTTCTTTAACTTCTGGTGACTGAATAATGAGGAACAGCTAAACAATTATCCAGAGTCTTAAACGTTGCAACCTAAGATCGATAACTATCTTTTGCGTCTTACCAATTAGCTTGTCAACTTTTCAATGCAACAGGCCTTAATACAAGTATGCTTCATATGGTTTTCTCAAAGTCCTTCAAGTTGAATGTGAACGTTTCAGACAATCGAGCCCGAGGAAGTTCGAAAACATGGCGTTTCATTCCCTCATACTGCCCATTGCCTCGCTGACGGCAACATTATGATCAGCACACTAGGAGATGAACATGGAAATAACAAAGGTCAGATTCATCAGGATTTCAACAATATCGCCTTATTTGCGTCTTCATTGCTCAGAGGAACTCAGCAATCGATGCCGTCTTTTTCTTGCCAAAAATCCTCCCAAGTAGTTAATAAAATCTAACACTTTTTGTGAAGCATTTGCGTTCCTTTCCTTAATCAGAATTCAAACCGCATAACATTGTTTGGATAGAGGTAATAGGCGCCATGCAGCTCCGTAACTTGGTAACACCCGAAAAGATCTTGATGCTATGCCAACGTAAATTTATGTCATGCGGATAGAGTGTTGACGTACAAATATATTGTTGACCTAATATCAGACAAATCGTATTGCCTCGTAAGTTTCGATTTAATACTATTTCCGCAATAATTTCCTGAAATTTAACACATCTGACACACTCAAGCCTACGCTCACCACTCTCGATAGTTTGGTGGTTCAAAAATTTGCGTGCTGGAGGTCTCCCGTGGCAAAAGGTTAGCAGATGCCATCAGATTAGCTGGAGCATCCAACATACCGTAGCGTTTTTCTCAGGGTAGACAAAACCCTGTAGTGAATTTCTTCAATGTTGTACCTGTGCTCGGGTATAGAGCTTATAAGTTGGAAAATCCAGACGGCGGAAAATCAGCGTTTTGACAACTGCTATTCTTCGGTTTACGTTATTAAGAACAAGCGCAAAATTTAAGGTTCTTACGATTCCGTTGTTTTAATCGAACCTTGTTCTGAAAGACCTCACCTCTTTTCACTCAAATACAAACCATGCTTCACTACCGTACAAATGAGTAATAATAAGGACTCCGAAAACGAGCTCCTGGGTTTTGAAGCCTACGTATTAGGTCGGTCCATAATTTTTGAGAACCTTTGGTGTTTTTCGATTCAATTATTTATCTTATTTCTCTGATGTACTTATTCAGCATAGTATACATCACCATTATTACCAACATATAACCAATGCGAGGGTGGGTATTCAGTGTCTCTCTTGTAGAATTTCATAGAGTTCTGATCGAAGAAATATTGGATGTCGATTTTGACTTTATGGTGATTCAAGTGAGATTTTTCTCCAGAAGGTGTGAGGAGAGCGGATAGTCGTTCGTTGACGCACAGGATTAGTGCTACAAGGCGGAGCTAAAAGAACTGACCGCCCGAGAGTCTCCAATTTTTTAGGAATTTTCTTAGCAAGGCGGGCTCGAACGACCTCAGAGAAAAAATAGATTTTGTCTTCCTTTGCTTTCAAGTTGAAGGCGTTGCCATCAAGCTGTCAACGATTCTTCCCATCACTGACACTGGTATTAGTTGATGCCGGTCTTCAGCGCAAAGGCCCTCCCGTATTGCGCCAACGACTCAGGAAGTTCGAATTCAGAGGGAGTTGGGTTTGTACTGTCAGAACTCCCGAATCGTTTGAGCAAATCTACTGCGGCTCGTGGATTTGTTAGCACATTGCACCCAGTCCACATCACCAATGAGTATTATAGATGGTCATCCGAAGGAACTATAGGAAACCAACAGGAACTTGATGATGTCAGATTGGGTTGAGAACTGATTCGGGACTACAATTTTCCTTCGATCAGAACTCTATGAAAGTCCACAAGAGAGGCACTGAATACCCACCCTCGCATTGGCGATATGTTGTTAATAATAATGATGTATACTATGCTGGATAAGTAGATAGCCATCAGAGAAAAGAAAGAATTACGATTCGAAAAAACCAAAGATCTCAAAAATTGTGGCCAGACCTAATACACCGCTGACCTTTTGCGAAATCAATCAAAATTGTAAAACAATGACAAACAATGAGCGTTTCATTGATTCCAGGCAATTTCCTGCTGCTTGATGGTGATACTTTCGAGCCAAAAGGTTGCTGGCTTGACTCCGATTCCAGCGTTCCTTTCAACTACGACTTCTGGTATCAGCCACGTCGAGATGTGATGATTTCAACCGAATGGGGCACACCCAATGTTATCAAACAAGGATTCTATCCCAAGGATGTTGTGAAAGGTAAGCAAAGATCATTATTATGTTGCACGTCACTTCCATACAAAGAAGTACTGACAGGAGAAAAACTCCAAATATTTTGTGCTGCTGATGCAAACACGTGGTAAAAGGGACCGATGTAGGTTCTACCTAACCCACCAGCTGAAGAAAAAATACAAAGAAACCTTATAACAGAGGCTCGGATCCAGTGAGCACCAAGGCGAAATAACGAGGAGCGTTAAACAGCACAAATGTCCGTAGAACGGTATGTAGCCGTCTGCAATGATCCATGAGGTTGATCTGCGCTTTTTAACACTAAGACTCTAGCAGAAGAGCTTCGGGTCGTGGAGGTATTCCTTCCTTTAAGGTTGTAGGCCCAGTAACTGTAGTACGGTAGCGACTGATTGGTTGAAATTGATATTCGTCCAAATCGGGCCCAACTTTATCATGCGACATTTTTCTAATTTTTATACGTTCTTTTCCCAATTCCCCACCCATCTTCTTCACTGCCGCTCCTCGCACCTTGGTGATCCTATTCGAGAATTGTTCCACCTAGCGATTCTATTTTCGCCGAACCCGCCGAGAAGAGGCTAAAATTCGAAGGATTTTGAAGTATCCTTGAATTTCTTGAAAAGTTTCTCCCTATTTTGGAGAAGAGATCTTCTCTTCTCATGCCTACTTCTACGCGTAGATATTTTATTTATTTGTTTATTTATTGTTGCGCTCAGTATATAATAGTGGGAGCGCCAAAATCGGTATTATATATGTATATGTTCGTATAATCATGTCAGCAGGTAGCAATAGGCGTAAACCATAAAAAAAATATAAGGAGAAAAAGTCTTGAAATGAAATCTGTAATAGTCCAAAGCTCTACAATTGATTCCTTCATACTAGCACAATGAATGATAACGAAGGCAGTTGGGCTCAATGTAATCTACCTAACTCACTGACTAACTAAAGAAAAAGTGAGGAGCGAGGAGGGAAAGAAGCCTCTGATAAAGTCAAATATTCCTTATCAAGCCAAGCTGTCGTATTCCGCTTAAGCGGCTGAGCAAAAGGAGAGCCTAACGTGTCCGGATAAGTTAATGAAGGAGAATAAATAGCTTCAGCTCAGGCACTTTGAGACAATATCGGGAACTACAAAAGGCTATAACGCCTACTCGCTGTACACATTGGAAAGGGGTTCAAATGGCAACAGGACACTACGGTGACGTCACGATAACACCTCATCAGTCAGCTATCATCCCGCTCTCACGTACGAGGTCACAGCCGAGCTTTGCCGAAACCTTAAACACGCGGTATACCAACTACTCACAGTGCAATCGGCAAGCTAGACATATACAATGGTGCGAATACGCTCCCCGTTCCTTCCCCGGGTTCAATCGCTCAACGGACACTAACTGTGACAAAAATCCGTCGCATAACTTATCTTTCCCGCTGAAATTGATTAGTCAATTCTCTATCATAAAGAAAGCCCGGTAGCTGAAAATGTTGGCGAAATGACCATTTGCTTCGATTGATATAGGACATGCAACATCTTCGCATGTGTAGTATAAGCCAGCATTTTTATGGTGTCACGGACGTGACCAGAGCATAGAAAAATATGTAGCTTAATGAAAAGAGCATTCCTCGCTAGATGCGAGGTCGTGATAACCCCGCCGAGCGTTAAGCGTCCGTATAAAAGAGGGACCGGCGAGCATTCCCTGCATTTTTTCTCCTTCCAACTCAGATTTCTTTTCTTTGAGAGCACTGCGAGCATCATAGAGCATCAGTGAGCATCAGTGAGCATTCTAGAGCATTTTATTCCCTCTTTTCATGTAATCTCATATTTTATGACTTTTTATCCATTTTTAATGCTTTAAAATGATTTCTTTCACTTATATCGTGTTGTATATCGGTTGTACTGTTTGTATTTTGTTTGTATTATTAGGATAAAGTTAAATATCGTATTATCGTATAATGTATTTTTTTGGGGTTTTTTGGTTTTTGTTTGTGTGTGGTTTTTTTTCTTTTGGAGTGTGGTGTTTTTTTTTTGTGGTGTATGGGTTTTTTTTTTGGCCCAGGAGCATTCCACTGAGCCAACGCGAGTGTACATATGGTAACCAGACTAATTGGATACCAGTTAAACGCCTCCTGAGGTATAGATGGTCATTATATGGTTGCCGACCCCGAGATTGGGCCTCCTTCGACAGTTAGGCATTGCCTCATCGTTGTAATTCATCGCCTTCATCATAATTTTCAGGTCACTACGGGCACTCTGTACACATTTTCAAATGGTCAACACATGACAAAATTCAAACAATCGACCTGCCCATGACCGATGGAGCTATGTGCTTGAGACTAGGTAACTACAACTGAAGAATGACAAATGATGATAGAGCCGTCGATAGGAATTGATTGAATCGGTAAAAATTGTTTTCAGGTTTCTTCACGAACCTACAAGTCCGTATGCTTTTGCTGGAACAACTCTCGGCTCATGCGTATTCCTTTTTCATCCCGTGAGTTTCAGTTTTGTGCCTTTCACCGTATACAGCTGATAAGGTTTATAGCACATGCCTGACTGGAAAACTGCATCGGATGTTATTTTCAAATCATAACAGTTTAAATAGCTATACATTCTGCGCGTAACCGGTAATTTAGTACTCAGCCGATCTCTACAGGCTATTTTATTCTATTTCGCAAAATTCATATTGCATATTATATTCGCAAGAACGACTACAGCAATTTTAGCGATTACTCACGAACATTTATATATCGTACTCCAGATACTGCAATGGTTTCAAAATCCAGTACGTATCTCATTTGCTAAAACACTGACATCTGACATGGTGAAATTTGAAACTAGTCTTTGTCAAGCCTTTATATGGCTGCGTCTGTTCAACGTGTGAGTACCCTAGTCCATATTCTAGAAACAATCACTCAGTTTTTTCTCTGTTCTCTTAAATATTTCATTGCACTATATTCTCTCTAGGAGGCGATGGTGCAGCGCAAGTGGCGCGCTCACCACGCGAGAGCGGTCCGGGGATCAAATCCTGGGTCGTGAGTCGCCCGGGCCAACCAAGCCTTCCATCCCTCCGGGGTCGGTTAATTGGTACCAGACTTGTCTGGGAGGATAAAAACACTGACTTGAACATCGGCTGGCCCCCGCAAGTCATTGTATAGGCCACATCGCATTCAAACGCCACTGCGAATGTACAAATGGAAGTAGAATGCGTGCCGCATCCCAAAGACGGGATTGATCAACGGCAATGCTTTATCCTTTATCCTTTAAAATTTCCTAGATCACCGAATAGTCTTTTTCTCAACCGGCTCATAAGACCCTTGAAAAATTCACTGAAGTCCCAGGACGGCCGAGAAACGTAAAACATGCGCGGTCTCCAACGTGTTAAGTTTGAAAAAAAAACCTAGAGGATAATACCACGTTTGAGAACCAGCTCTCTGATCATGATAATAGCAAAACAAATTCAGCGCACAAAAACGATATTGTTATTTGCAATAAGTAAAACTGTAAAAGTTAAAAATTTAGGATCAAATGTAAAATAATTTTATTTTGAAAAAAAATCATTTCTGCGAATAGGAAACGAGAGTAGAAAAAGCCACTCCATTACATGCAGCGCTTGAAACTCTTTGGCCTCGTATCAGAGCAAATTTGATGATTCAGTTGATCGATTCATCAAGGTTACGTATATTGATTTTCAGAAGTTCGCTTCTACAAAGTATGATGCTAAATGTGTTGTGAAGGTGCCATCGAAGAAGGTTTGTTTACAATACGAATTTTTTTGTATAATGGTATAGAGGAAAGCGATTTTGTCCAGTAAATGTCTTGGGTTGTGACCATAAGGTCGGAATATGAAGGTGCTCCGATTTTGTGTAGTGCGTTGACCAGTAAGCGGTCGTATCCCAAATCGAATTTCCTCCAGTATAACTGAACCTTCATGCCTTCTAGTCGACTGGTTGATAGCCGACTTGGCTTTGAGAACGAAATACTCTGTTTCAGAAAACCAGAAGCGCGTCGAGTGCAGACCACACACCACAAGTGACGACGGCCTCCACAAAATGTAAATGTTTTCTGCCAATGAAATGATTAGCCTTGCAGTTGTATTCTATCAGTTGTCACTAATTACAACTATCATTTACCAAAATCAGCTATCACTATGAACCACTACTAACCAGATTTACTTGGAGGCCGTCGTCACTTGTGGTGTGTGGTCTGCACTCGACGCGCTTCTGGTTTTCTGAAGCAGAGGGTCCACTGATTTGTGCACTGGTTGACCCTTGCAGCTCAATTGTATGAACCGTATCGCGTTCACATGCCTCTATGATTTTAGATAGATATGGAATGCGTGGTGCATCAAAAAAACTTGATCAACCCTCAAAAGTTTTATTTATCGCCTCATCCCGAAAGAACTCTTAAATTACATGAGAGAAGAAGACTCACTCAAACTTATAAGAGCTCATTTCTTGTAGGTAAAATAATCACAAATTGCTGTAAAGTGAAATAGCCGTGACCGTTTGGATAGCGACTTTATTCAGTAACACAAGCCACTGTGTATTAGCTTCTACCATTTTCGAGAGATATCTCATGGGCAGAAAAGTGCCAAAGCTGGAGGGGAAAAGCTGGCTATTGCATGAAAATCTGTACCACAAATTTTGTTTAGAATGTAAATTCTGCCACAAGTATTTTTCCATAACCCGCGATTGCAGTTACACGTGCTAGATATTCTTTTCTTTGTGATACTTCAGATGGTTTTGGTTTTGCGCATTCCGATACTTTTCACAAGTTATAGTACGGGCTAAGCTACGGGAAAGGGGCAGTCTCTAGGGTTTGTTTCGTTTTCACAGCGCTTCCACCAGTAGCTCGAAGTCTGCGTCTCTCCCTGATCATGCACAGAACCCTCTCGCTATTTCAGGTTTTGCCCTCATGAGGTCCTCTGAAAACTCATGCTCATATGTTCTGCAGTTTTTTTGGGTCGTCCTCAATGTCATATTTTCCG